TTTTATGACCACCTTGGAGAGCCCTGGGATTTCCAGGGAGAGGGTCGAGCGAATTCCGCGGCGCGTCCGCTGCCTCCCGCGGGACTGGGCACTTGAGGCGCACGTTTCTCGCCAGCGACGGCGTGGGCGCGGCGCTCACTGCCCTGGCCTTGTTGCCGGCGCCGGGCTTGGCCTGGATTTTGCAGACACACGTGGGCGGCAGTTAGGACCAGGCTTTGGGTGGACATTTCTGTGCGCTCTTGGGGTCACGGGGTCAGTGAGGCCTAGGTGCGCGGGACGCGCAGGAGCTGCAGCGCAGCTGTTAGGCTGGGCAGGGAGCCTCGGCAGCCACCTGCCCTGGGGTAGGTGGAAGCCTCGGCGGCGTGGCTGTCGGCTGTGCGGCGACACTGCTCTCCCCACCCCAGGAGGCGCTGTTTGTCAAACTTGGCCGCTTAGACAAGAGGCGCCTGCATATTCCAGCTTGGAGAATTGAGCCTCTTAGGGTACTCGGGGGGTGGGTCGGGCTTTGCTAACCTTAACCTTACAGGATGAGGGGTTGGGGGGGGGGTGATGATGCAGAGAACTGGGGGCTGAGACCCCGCAGTGTTCACTTTTTACCTGTGGATCCGGTCAGGCCTCCCTGCTTTGTAGCAGAGGGCAGAGGAACCCGTCGGTGCGCCCCGTGCATCCTGGGCGAGGTGCCCAGTTACTTGCCTCGGAGGGCAGGCGGGACGCCCGCCTGGCTTGGGTTCAGTTCGCCACCTGACTCCTGAGAGCCCCGTCGCTTCCATCTCTGCCCCGAGGTGGCGAAGGCGCTCTCTCTGGCCTGGAAAACCCACCCGGACCTGGTCCAGCCCCATTTATACGCAGTTTAATAGGTTCGGGTGACCGAACACCAGAGCCCTTGCCTCCCCGGCCTCCCGCAGCCCATCGGTGAGCTGGACCCAGCGGCACAAAGCCAAACCCTGGATGCACTCAGGGGCCTCGACACACTGACCCGAGGTGGGCAGGGTTTGCGGGTGCCTGGCTGTTCCACCCTACCTCACAGCTCACGGGACTTTCTAGGTGTGCCTTCCCAGGATTTCCCTATTCTCGGCCCTTCGGGCCCCTGTGTGGCCTCCTTCCCGCCGGGGCCCAAGGTCTGCCAGGCTCTCTAATTTCTGGTTCTTTCCCTGGCCCCTGCCTGTGCACAGCGCCGGGTCCTGAGCCCCGGGCCGGAGTGGGGCCGGCGGCCAGGTAGCCAGCTCAGGCTGAGCGTGACCCCCCAGGCGTGGAGGACGTGGGGGCGGGCCGCGCCTGCAACTCCGCACTGGCGGAGGGAACGTGAACCGCGGGGCCTTTGGCGCATTGGCTTCTCACCCTTTCTCGAGGGCTGAGTGGCAGGCCTCGCAGCCTGGGCCTGAGGCCACGAGCCCTTCGAGGGCGCCACGCCTGGACGCGCCCGCGCGCCCCCAATCCCTCAGGGGGCTCGGTTTCCAGGAACACCCCCTGCCCGGGCTTCTCAATGCCGGAAATGCAGTTTACTGCTCTTTGGAAGGCTGGTAGGGAGGGTCGGCTGGCTCCCCGGACCGGGCCGCGAGCGAGATGGGGCATTCACAAAGTAGCCTGAACGTTGGGCCGGAGCGGGCGCCGTGGCTGGCCTTACTCCCTGGGACCCCGACTTGGCCCAAGTTTCTGGATGACTCTTGAGTCTGGCACCAGCCCGCCTCTCGCTCTCCTGGCCTTGCACCACGCAGCAGTGGAGGCCCCGGGACTGGGGAGGTACAAGGGGGACGCTCACGCCTGGTGCGCGGGGAACGGCCCCTCGCCCTCCCCGAGTGGGTAATGGGCGCACGCGGAGGGGCTTGGAGGCGCGCGGCGGCCAGGCCACTGGGCACTGCAAGGCCAGCAGGGTGGCCGGGCTGGGCCTGGGTGCGGACGCCGCCGGGTCGTACTGCCCGGCTTGGCCTCTGGTGGTGCCGCGGGTCAGCGGCCAAGCGCCGCCTCTGCCCTGCGCTCTGCACGCCGCTTCCCCAACAGGGCTCCAGGGGCGGCGGGCGCTGTCTCTTTAAGGTCACTGCCTGCTCCGGCACGACGTGGGGAGGACAGCTGGGCACTGGCCATCTGACTGACTCCGGCGTGACATCTGGGAGCCCACTGGTGTGTGGCACGCGAAGCGCTTGATGCCGCTATTTAAATGCAAATGTGAGGGGGCTCATTGAAGCCTCTCCCCGTAAATCCGCACAAAAGGAATACTTCCCACCCTCCGAGGAGGAGGAGGCGGCGGCGGAGAGGCGGCGGCGGCGCAAGGGCCACCCGTGCAAATCGCGTTGAGCGCGGGGCCCTGAGCGGTCGGCGTCGCAGTCTTGGCCCGCGGGGTTCCCAACGAAGGTCAGGCCCCGCCCGGCCTGGCCCCTGGGCGCCCGTCTGGCCCCCGGGAGCTCCCTGTGAGCGGAGGCTGGAGCAGCGGCCGGGCCTGCGCAACTTCCAAAGTGACAGCCTGTCTCTCCGCCCCCCCACCCCCACTCGCCCCGCTCCCCAT